GACGGCTAATCAAAATGGTACTTACTTGCGCTTATCCGGATTGTTCAATCCAACTCATTTGTTCATATGCACCCCTGTAATCGTTGCAATAACATTAGAAATACAACACATTACTCACTCTATTGACAGCGTGCCATTGGGTCCCTTTGGCCTTGGACGTTGCCTCCAGTTTATACGTGGCAAGCTAAACACAACGTGCAAAACGCTGCGGCTCAACAGTGGAGAAAAGTCTGGATCTTCAGTCAGGCAGGTGTGTGATGGGACACCCTCGGCAATGTCCTCGTCGGCGTCTTGTAGTTGTGGCATTGCTATGTTCCATTCGTGACAACAGATGCTCTCCACTTCTGTTGGCATCTCACAACACTTACTACAAGAACACCACCACTTTTGAAGAGATCTCTGTCTCTCTGAGGCTTGAAGACGTGCTGCTGCAGCAGATGCTTCCTCCATCTCTCTGAGTTCTTGATCTGAGTATTCTGGTTCAAATAAATACGGTTGGGCAAAAAAATCCACGTGGTCTGTTGATATATCAAAATCGTCTTCCATTGTGATGACCTGTACGTCTAAATATCTTTAGATCTTCACAGTGGCAGGGAACACCGCAATGACTGTGCACTGTGTAAACAATGAGTGACGTATACGCGCGAGAGATCACTTCCGGCGCTTGCGTAAACTACGCCAGAGCGCGTACACACCTCGCGCACCGGAAGCCGTGCGCGCGCTCGAAGACAGTAGTGATGGGAAGTCCGGTTCTTTTCCGCGAACCGGTTCTTTCGGACAGTTGGTTTCAAAAAACCGGTTCATCTGTTATTTTACGCCCTAACGTACTGACGTCATTCGCGATGACGTAATGATATCAAATCTGTCCTCCTGGGCCGGGATGACCTAACAGAATCTTCAACTGAACAAAGTACACAGATTAGATACATTCGTAAATTCCAGCATATAACACAGATTTGAGCTACTTTACATTGGCTTCCAATTCACTACAGGGTTGATTTTAAATTACTTATTTTAGTATATAAAGTCTTACATAATCTGGCTCGCTCTTATTTAATTGATCTTTTGCATTTACATAAACCTCAAAGGAATCTAAGGTCATCAAACCAGATCCCTAGGACAAGATTAAAACTGAGTGGTGACCGGGCATTTTCAGTGTTGGCCCCAAAGCGTTGAAATAGCTTGCCTTTACCTATATTTACCCAATATAGACTTTTACCTATATTGGGTTCTTTTAAAATAAATTTGAAATTGTATTTATTAGAGTTAGCCTTTGGCTCAACATATCGAGTAAACAAAGTGGGTCTCCTTCTTTGCTATGATGTTTGTTTTACTTGCTTATTTATTTATTACTCTCTTTTTCCTTCTGTGCTGTTGGTCTCCTTTTTACTAGTTACTATTGTACAGCACATTGGTCAACCTTACATTGTTTTAATTGTGCTCTATAAATAAATAAAACAAACAAACAAACAAACAAACATTCATCTTTTTTTTAAAAGTAAAATAAATTATATTTAAAATATTTAAAAATAAAAATGATATTATCACACTTTCTGATGTTTAACAAAATACTTGGGTAACATGCTTTTCGTCCTCTTGAAAAATTACACGCATGCGCAGTATCATCAGCTCATCGGTTCTCAAATCGGACGCGTCCTAAAGAAACGGTTCTCGGTTGAGTGTACCGGTGATCCGAAAACCGATGCAACCGGTTCTTGACTCGAAAACGAGAACCGCTCCAGCAGTGGGAATGTACGTTCGTTATCCGGCTCGCTGCACACTTGCTGCTTTTCATCATCAGCTCTCTCTTCACAGCAGTTCAGTCAGTGTACTGTTTGAGTAAATGAATTACTCCGGGATACTGGTTTATTTCGACTCACAGGGAGTGTCAGCCAGGTTTAAAAAAGTGAATAATTTAAGTAATTTGTGGATTAATGCTTACTGGAGACGCGAACCGTTTCAAACGATTCAGTCCGATTGGGTGAACTGGTTCAACCGGTTCACTAAGAAGAACCGGTTAAATCGAACGATTCGTTCGCGAACCGGACATCACTACGAGGGATGAGAGAGGGATGTTAAGGAAATGTTTTCCTTCAGCGCGGGAAACGGGCTACCGTCAACCCCAGCAGACAGCAGAATGTGACTGAAATATCGCGGGCGAAGACCGTCAACCAGGTAATGCGGTAAGTTAGAAATAGTTAGAAATAAAACGCCGCTGAGTTTCAATGAAACGTCGCTGTTTGGGTTTGTATTGTTGACACGTCGCTTTAGCCGTGCAGCTGATGGCCCTCAAACAGACGAGCGCAAATAATTCACCTCACTAAACACACACAGGTATCAATGAGCGCCTTCACTGGGACAGTTTTCACACTTTCCCGTCAGAGGCTCAGCGGTTTTTAGGTGTAATGTCTGCAAAAGAACATTTAACAGCAGGTTCATCCTGTGATTTCTGGTAAAACTGACAGATATTCGTTTAGATCAGTATAACTGAATACTGCTTCTGTGGATTTAGAATATAATGTGATTGAATGTTTTTATGATGTTTAAGAAACTAATATGAGTCTGCTGCTGCTGTCTTCATCTGAGGTTGTGAGGATGTGTTGTTGTTGCTTTCGAGGTTATATGATGTGATTGTAAAACATGATGCCATGATACATTGTTTCTGCAGTTTAAATCTCTTTCTACTTGTAGTACTTTGTTGCTTGGTTTAATCTTAAGCAAACAAAAAAAAAAGAGTAAATTAATTTGTCATGAAATGAAATTTTATCAGTTATCAGACACCTAAAATATTATTATATATATTGTAGTTTCTTCTGGTGAATGCTGTTTCTAATTCTGAAAGTCGGTTAGTCGGGTTCGGGTTTTAAAATATGAAAATTAATTTACTCTAAAATTTCACAGTCTTTCTATCTTGGAACTCAAAAAAGAGATATTTTAAATGTTCATGCTGCTCTTTTCCATGCGAGTAACTTTTTATATGTAGGCTAAATTTTGGTCCATTTCTCACACGGACTTATTGTATTGCTTTGGAAGACTTGGCTAATATGAATCTGGACTGCTTTTATGGTGCTTTTGTTCTTTGATCTTTTTGGTCACTTTGCTTTCATTATGTGGAAAAGGACAATGTAAACATACTGGTAAACATCGCCTTTTGTGCTCCATGAAAGAAAGAAACTGGAAATGACTAGAGCCCGACCGATATATCGTTTAGCCGATATTATCGGCCGATTGTCGATAGCCCCCGGGGTTCAGGAGTTACGGGCGGTTAAATTTGCGGTCCGGCGCCGACCGATCAAGTGATCCCAGGGGGCTACCGACGCGCGGAGGGTGGCGTTCGAGAGGGCTCCTCGAGCTGAAGGGATCCTCCGAATTTGGTGGAGATCCGCCAGCGCGTTCGTGAGATAGTGACACCAGCCAACACTCTCACTTCAGTAAGGAGGTCTCTTGTTCAGGCAGCAGCATTCAAG